ATATTTATCAAAGTTCAACTTGTGGGGGGCTAATAGATGATAAAAACTAAATTATTAGTTGGATAGTTAGTTTTTGTTTGTTACACTTAGATCAAGTTAGTTATATTAGTTTGTTTGCTTGCACCTTAAGCAATTAGCTTGTATCTTCTCATGTATATATACTTCATCAACTAACTACCAATAATATGAGAATCATTCTGCTCCATTGTCATCTTTTTCACACTGATTTCTCTTGCTTCATATGCTTTATCATGCAACCATTCATGAAGCATAATATTGTTTAGTAGTTGAACACGATAAGTGCTATATTATGGAATTTCACTTTATTCTAGTGTGGATGAATCTCTTTTTTAATGAGCCTTTGAACGAGAGATGCAAAATATTTATTTCTAATAGGCTTTTAGTCATAAAATACTAATTGAGGTTTTGATAATTAAAACTGGTGTTGATAATTAAGCAATATAGAAATGATAAACCCTAGAGACATGGCAACATCAAGAATATATATAAATACTAGCTGGCCATGCTACGTATTATATGTTTATTTCTGCTCTGAAAAATCTTATCAAGTTGCTTCCTCTACCAAAAACATCAATGACAAGGGAAACGCAATAATTTAATTTTTTGTCTTCTGGTTTTTAATTAATTTCTTAATATGTGTTATAAAATACTACATAGTTGCTGGTTTTGCTGGTTAAGATGCAAACAATTAATTAATAGACCTCGTGGGAAGGTTTGATCCTAACTTTAAAAATCGTTCTATTCTATATATTGGTTACGTAGTTTCCTTGTTAGCTTCCATGGATCAATTACAAGTATCTAATAATGGGAAATGAAAATATATAAAAATGTGAACATGCGGTTGTTAGAATAATATATACGTACGAACGAATCTTCAAACAATAATGCTTTTTTTTTTTCAAAAACTTATAAATTTTCACGTTTTTTTTCAATAATCTAGTAGCTGGAATTCAGGTTTTTAAAGGTTAACAAATGGCATGTCCCAGATTTAAAACCGCATTTTTGTTTTTGTTGTATATTATTAAGATTTAATAATTTTAAGAGTGCATGTAGGTGAAAATTAATATTAAATTTAAAGAGAAATAATATTTCGTGAAGTATTGATGAACATAGCTAATGCTTGAAAATAATGCAATTTTTGATTAAAAGATGTTGTTTCATCAAGGGTCGCAAGCTTGTAATACAACACATATATGACCTATAAATAAATCATTCCGGAATTTAGAAAACTCATCACAAACCAAATATTCTCTTTTACAAAATTTCAAATACTCTTCGCTATATAATCGAGTTTTCGCCGGTCTTGCGCAAATTCGATATAAAATTGAATTATCTTGGATATTCTTGTGTTCCGACTCTAAGAATTACAAGAGAGTGTTTGAAATATTTTTAAAGAAAGTGACATCATTCAGGATTCTAACTTTGATCCATTTGATTTATATTAATTTTCTAACAATCTTAAAAGTAATTCAAATAATGGAAGCTGCAACTTTCATTTCAAGCATTAAAGTGACAAATCAAGAATATTAAAAGAATGAATACAAGAAAAAATCGTCATTATTAATCCGGGTACGATTTATTGCTTTTTTTTAATGAAAAAGTGTAATGTGGAAATTCTTAATATCAAGAGTACCGTTAGGATTGGTTTTTCTGCTATTTTCAATAACTGGTGTAGCACACGAAACCCATTCATGGTCATTCGTATCAGACTTGGAAACAACAACAAGTAGTCGGCTCTATGTTATACGGATATGCCTGACTGTGTATTTTTCCTTTTCAACCTCTAAAAAATATTGTTACTAATTGCTACTAGTTACATTCATCAATTAGATTCTGGTAAGATTAATTCCAACAAGTGAAACACTACAAGAAAATGTGCATTTTCCCTAGTGATTTAGTGACGTGGGAAACAAGAAAAAAAAATGTGTTGCCAAGTGATTACCACGTCACTAACATATTTAATTAATAAATTGTGTAGTTTAAAAATATGGAAGGAAATTTTGGAATTTTAAGAGGGAGGGAAGGTTGGATTTTTTTAAAATTCAGTTGTGACATGAAAATCACAAGGGAACATAATTCAGAAAATACCCACATGTGTTTCACTTCGCAACACACTCACATTAATTATTTTCTGACCGTTGCTTTGACTTTTAGTGGGCAACGGTAATAATAAAATAAGCGGGGAATGTTCTGACCTGAAAGCCACGTCGCAAACTTCCGAAATAAATACCACGTCGCAACTTTAAATTTTACTTGGCATTAAATGAAACATTTTTCTAGGGGAGTATTACCGACCATTATTACACGTCGCAAACTACCGACCATAATTGCACGTCGCAAACTTCCGATTCAGATGCCACGTCGGAAACTTCCCAAGTGGGATCCACGTCGCAACCTCCCTTATAAATGCAAATTCCAGAATTTTGTCTTGGCACATTTCGTATGAACTGAAGAACACAAAACCTATTTTCTTCTTCCCCTTTCTGCGTTTATGCTTGCTGCCTTCCCTCAACTCCATTTTTATTTCATAAGACCAAGATTTAAGGTGAAGTATTTGTTGATTTTGTGACTCTTTTATGTTACCATTTATTTTATATATTTGTTATTATTAACTGTTAATTTTTTTTTCCAGATCTAACATTGATTTTTAAGAAGTTTCATTGGAAGTTTTAAAAGCTTGTAAAGAGGTATTTCAGCAATTAAATTTGTTTATATTTATTGTTGTTGTTGTTGAAATTTTATTGGAAGTTTTGAGAATTTTAGATTTTAGTAAATTTTAGATTTTAGTGATATATATATGTATTGTGTTGGTTGTTGTTATGTGATTTTTAATATGTTATGTGATTTTTAATATTATTTTAGATTTTAAAAATATATTATTTTAGATTTTAAAAATAATATGTTATGTGATTTTTAAATAAAAAAACAGAATATTTTTTGATAAGGAATTAAAAATATATTAGAATATGTATATTATTAAATTTATTAGAATTTTTATATATTAGAAACAAAAAAAAATATATTAGAATTTTTATATATCAGAATATTTATTAGAAAGAAAAAAAATATATTAGAATTTTTATATATTATGTTAGAATATATTAGAATTTTTATATTATGTTATAATATATTAGAATTTTATATATTAGAATATATTAGAATTTTTTAAATGTTATAATATATATTAGAATATATTACAAAAATAATATAATAGAATATATATTATGTTAGAAAAAGTAGAATTTTTAAAAATATTTATAGTAAAAAAAATTGTAAATAGAAAAAATTAAAATATATTTTTAAAAAATATAAAGAATACGTATTATATTTAAAATGTGTTATTTTTAAATGTATTATTTTTTGAAAAAGTATTTTAATTAAAAAATAATAAATATGTATTAAATGCGTTATTTTTAGTAAATCAATTATATATATTATAGAATATTACATTATTGAATAGTTATTATATTTTAGTAAACATAATATATATTATTTTAGAAAACAGATTTTTAAAATTAATGAATATATATTATACTTTAAATATGTTATTAATGAACATAATATTTAAATATATAGTTATTATACTTTAAATATGTTATTAATGAACATAATATTTAAATATATAGTTATTATACTTTAAATATGTTATTAATGAATATTATACTTTATATATGTTTTTAATATATATTCATTAAATATGTTATTAATGAATATTATACTTTAAATATTATACGTTAAAACATAATATATAGTTATTAATGAAAATAGTATTTAAGTATTTTAATGAATATATATTATTTTACTAAATATTTTATACTTTAAAAATATATAGTGAATTTATATTATACTTTAATGAATATATTATATTTTAAAAATAATAAATATATATTATACTTTAAAAATAATGAATTTATATTATTTTAGTGAAAAAATAGATTGGTGTCGAAATAGAAAAAATTACATATTTTATTAAAATGATATATAATGATATTATACTTTATTAAAATGGCCGAAATAGAAAAAATAGATTTAAATTACATATTTTATTAAAATGATATATAATGATAGTACTAATTAATGTGCAGTATGGAATATTTTCGTTACTATCGTAGTTGGATGTACGATAGAACGTTACCAGGGGGACGTGGACTTACACCAAATTTTGAGGAAGGAGTTAAGGGGTTTATCACGTGGGCATTTGCACAAGAATGTTGTCAACGTGAAGGAGGAGTGAGATGTCCTTGTCTTAAATGTGAATGTAGACGTATAATCAGTGACCCAGAAGAAGTAGAACGTCATTTGAGAAGGAAGGGTTTCATTAAAAATTATTGGGTTTGGACATATAATGGAGAACAACTGCCGAGTAACGTACATACAGAGACAACTAATACAGACACATCAAGCAGTCGATCACATATGAAATTTGATGAACAATTTAATCTGATCGATGAAATGGTTGGAAATGCATTTGGAGTAAATGTGACATATGATGAACCTCAGGATTTTGATGGTGAAGAGTTGCCGAATGAGAAAGCACAAAGATTTTACCAATTGTTGAAAGAAATGAATACACCGTTGTTTGAGGGGTCGGCAGATTCAAAATTATCAATGTGTGTGAGATTATTGGCTGCAAAGTCAAATTGGAATGTTCCTGATCAGTGTTTGGAATACTTTGCAAAAATGATGTTGGATGCGACTCCTACGAAAGACAACTTGCCTACAAGTTATTATGATGCAAAGAGGTTGGTGTCGAAGTTGGGTTTAGAAGTACGAAAGATTGATTGTTGTATAAATGGATGTATGTTGTTTTATGACAATGAGTTTGGTATTAATGATGAGGCGCTGGAGGAATGTAAGTTCTGTAAGAGTCCGAGATATCAAGTTGTAGTAAAGCCATTAACCGTAAACAAAAACGTGTAGCAGTGAAGTCCATGTTTTATTTGCCGATAATACCAAGGTTAAAAAGATTGTTTGCTTCAATGCATAGTGCAAGTCAAATGACATGGCATCATACAAATAAAACATCTTCAGGCATTATGCGGCATCCATCTGACGGTGAGGCATGGAAACATTTTGATAGGGTACATTCTGATTTTGCTGCAGAACCTAGAAATGTCAGGCTCGGACTATGCTCTGATGGTTTTACTCCATACGTCCAAGCATCTGCAATTGCATATTCCTGTTGGCCAGTTATTGTAACCCCTTACAACCTCCCTCCAGAGATGTGCATGACAAAACCGTACATGTTTTTGACTTGCCTCATTCCAGGACCGTCAAGTCCTAAATCCGGAATCGATGTTTATTTGCAACCTTTAATAGATGATTTGAAGAGGTTGTGGATTGGAGAATGGACCTATGATATATCTCGCAAACAAAACTTTACTTTGCGAGCTGCCTTGATGTGGACTATTAATGACTTTCCCGCTTATGGAATGTTATCTGGTTGGGGTACGCATGGCAAAATGGGATGTCCACATTGCATGGAATTTACAAAGGCTTTTACTTTGGAATTTGGAGGGAAAAGTTCGTGGTTTGACTGTCACCGCAGATTCCTACCACGAGACCATGTATTTAGAAGAAACAAGACTGATTTCACAAAAGATGTACGAGTAAAAGATTTGCCTCATCCGCGATTTTCACCAGAGGAAATATGGAATCGAGTTTCTGAACTGCCCAAATTTACAGATTACGGTGAAGCATACAGAATTGAAGGATATGGGGTCAAACACAATTGAACAAAAAGAAGTATATTTTGGGACCTCCCATATTGGAAAGATAATTTATTGCGACATAATCTTGATGTTATGCATATTGAAAAGAATTTCTTCGATAATATATTTAACACAGTGATGGATGTTCACAAAAGATGCACCGCTTGATCCGCGCGTTGATCTTTATATTTGGAATTTAACAGTAGGCGGGAAGAGAGTTAATGGATGTTTTTTTGGTCTGGGGTCTTTGGCTGGTGATTATAGAAAAGGGGACCGAACTTTATTTCAAAGACTCGATGATGGGGAAGGAGGATCGCGTCCGACAGAATTGACACCAGAAATGTTGGCAACAGTGAGACAGTTAGCTCTAGCTGAGGCGAGACGAGAGGCGGAGACACGTGAGGCGGCCCTAAAGGCCGAAATGGATGATATGAGAAATAGACAAAATGCTGAAATAGAGGAAATAAGGAAGCGGCAATCAGACATGGAGGCACAAATGCGAAAATATTTTGCCTCGAGGTCGAATTATTCTCCCGAAGATGATGACCAAAACGAAGATGAATTATTTAGTGGCGAAGAATAATTTTTTTTATTAGTATTTTTATTTGTGATGTGAATATTACGTCACAACTTTTATTATTATTATTTGTATTTGTGACGTGAATTTCATGTGACTAAATATTTATATATTTTAAATGTATATTATTTTAATTAAAAATTATTCTAATTTTAAATTTATATTTAATATTTAATTTTTATTTTAATTTTATAGTAGCTTTCAGTTAGTATTATTTATTTTTTTTATAATTAAATTTAATAGTGAAGTGAATCCCATGTTACTAATTAGTGACGTGGGAATCACATGGGAAGAATATTAATTCTGTGAGGTTTCCCACGTGATAACAAGGTCACAACTTTGTGACGTGGGAATCACATGGGTACTAAATTTACTTTGTGTCAGGAAAGCGTGCATAGCAATTTGGTAAAGGTAAGTTCCCACATGTCTTTCACGTCACTAATTAGTGACGTGGTTTTCACGTGGGAGGTTTTCTTCTTTATTTTGTGATTTGCGACGTGGTAATCCTGTCACAACTTTGTGACGTGTTTTCCACGTGGGAAAAAGTTCCCACCATTGCATTTCCGGCGTGTTTTACCCACGTCGCAACCATTGGCTAGTGAAGTGATTTTTACATTAGTGACGTGAATATCACTTGGGAAAAGGCAATATTTATTGTAGTGAAAGGAATCGAAGCAAGAGTTATGTATCTACCTTTGTTAACTTCGTTCATCAGGAACAACTCGGTTTGATGCAAACCAGTGTCAATGTTTCGATCCTATGAAGATTAGGTGGTTATCTTCGGCTTAAATTCCTAGCTTTCGAGTTTAGGGGTCTTGGTAATTGTCTGATCTTTCTCGGATTGAGACTGTGGTTATCGATGGCTTGGTAAAGGGTTGTTAGGAACGATAGAAAGGGTAGAAATGGAGGTTTTTCAGTTTGGAAGGAGAACAATGGGAAAGGAGCTTTGGGTGGAGATCCTACGACGTTTTGAAGATTACAGGCCTATTAGTCTTGTCAGTTGTATTCTTAAGGTTATATCTAAGATGCTTGCCTGCAAACTGAGGAAGGTTATTGTTGTACCCAAAAATTTACCCTCCCTTATTCAAGACAATGTGTCCCAAGAAGTTACTTAATAGTCACAAGATTCGCAATTGGTCAAAGGGATTGAAGGTTTCATCAAAGCCTTCTCCTGAACAGTGGATCATAGAACTATGGTTTTGAGTCTCCCCAAGAAAAATGGACTTCTAAAACTTATAATGGACTTCATAACATACCACATACTTCAAAGAATCCCCATGTCAAGTTTCAGAGCTTTTCTCACAAGTTTGGCTAGTCAGATGCTCAGATACTTGAAAATCAGTTAACTTGGTCAAAAAGTCAACTGAGGACAATTGTGGTCAACTCAAAGTCAAACTTCAAGAGTTTTGGTCAACATCAAGATTACGAGGTGAAATTCATCATTTGATAAAGGGTCGATCATGATTCATCAGGGAAACCTCAGATCATCAAGAATCGGAAGTTGCTAAATTAGGGTTTTATGTAGGAAAAGTCAACTGAACTTTGACCAGCCATAACTTTCACATGTTTCATCAAAAATTTCTCATCCAAAGCTCATTTTGAAGTTTAATTCTATACAACTTTGTGTCTCACAAGCCAAGCCTAAAAATGATTCATTTGAAAGCTATGAGCCAAGACATTATAGGTCCTTTTGAAAATCAACAAAAAGTCAACTTTTTCCAAAGCTCATAATTTGAAAATGGTAAAAAAATATAGACACGGGACCAAAAGGGTTTATTAGAGGATACCCTAAGATTTCTAAAAAGTCTTAGAACACCTCCATAGCATTAAAATTGATGAAGTTATGCATTGTCAAAGTTGGTAATTTTTCAAGGGGTGTATGAAGTAAAAAGGGCCATATCTCCAATTCTTTCCAAATAGGCCCATAAAATTGCAACCCAAACTTGAAGTTAAAGTCATTCACGACCCAATGACCATATTTTCTGATTTTTATCATTTATTTTATATTATTTTTGATTTTTATCATTTAAAATCATTTTTAATTAAAATAAATTATAAAAAATCAAAGATTTGATTTAAGATTTATTTTGGGATCAAATATATGGTATTCAAAGTGATTGAAGGCATCCATGTTGCACCCCAAAATTTGCTCAACTTTTTCTTACCTGGTTTATGTTTCATTTTCATTAACATTTGCATAGTTCTAACATTTGCATATCATAATATAATATCATTTTGCCGGGGATCAAGTGTGATTCATGTCAAAAGAAGCCTAACCATAGGTCTTATTCAAGTTCGAGAAGTCACCAAGGTCATCAGGAGTTGGTTTGAGGTTTCGAGAAGTTTAAATGCTCATGTGGATTTTTCTCCTATCTTGAGGACTATTGAAGACCATCAGTGGGATGTGAAGCTTAGATTGTGAATAGAGGATGTGTATAGAGCTCATGGAGAGCCTAGAGGGCCATGTTGAAGCTTAATCAAGTCATTGTGCCAAGTTCCAGAGCCACAGTTGAAGGTGCTGCAACTAGGGTTTCATCTGGGTAATCCTAAGACAAATTGAGCAAATTGAAGAGGGTCAAAGCCCATTTCTGAGTCATTGAGATCTTGAAATGATATTTCAAAGCATTTGAGACATTGTTTCAAGTCTAATCAAGAAGAATCAAGAAGAGTGGTTGGAGTTGCTAAGTCAGGGTTCCTAGGGTAAAATCCCCTATTTAGTGCTAAACTTCCAAGCCATGTAAGTCAAGATATAAGTCTCAAATGACTTTGACCTCCACATGAATGTTGTAGAGGATGTTCATAGATTTAATTTGAGTACTAGAAGTCATCCATATGATTTATAGAACTCAAGTTACAAGCCAGACAAGTTACAGGTCCTCAGATGCATCTGAAATTTGTCTGCGAAAATCATCTGACTTCCGAGCCATTTTTGCGCTAGAAGGAAGTTTCATCTGAACTTTGGACAAACATGAGAGTTGTTCCTCATGATCTTAGCTTTCCAAAAAGTTATAGAAGTCCCCATTCTGATTTGTAGAACCCAAGTTATAATTTTTGCAAGCCAGGGGTATTTTGGGAAAGTAAGATTATAGGTCATAAAAATTATAGGTCCATTTCACCAACTTGCACACTTCAAATGAAAATCTTTCCAACATGAAACTTGCTCCAAATGGTGTCAATTGGTCAACCAAACACTAAGAAGTCATGGAATTGGTTTGAAGTGAGATTTTGATTTTTGAATTTTCATAAAAGAATGATTAAAATGAGAAAATTAGAACTATTTGATTATGGATCATTTTTGCGCAAGTGAATACATATTTTTGAGTAGAAGACATGTTCTAAACACATTGGCATTTCCAGAATTTTGATTTGAGGTCATTTGCATAGACATTTCCAAGGTTACTTTACCATGAAGTTACATAATCAAAAACAACCATTGAGATGAAATCAAGGAACAAATCCTAACCATTCACATCCCATGTGATACCAGCAAGCAAAATGCACCATTTTGGAGTGGTCTTCATGAGCAAATTCGTGTACTTTTTCAAGGCAAAAAGTGGTGAAATTTGATTTTTTGAAATTGGGCTAAACAAGCTTCCATTGGGCATCTTTATCATTCAAATCCACCATATAAATGTTTCTGAACATGAGCCAACCCTAGGAGCATGAATTTGGAGCAAGAACCATCTCAAAAAAGTGAAGGACAAGTCAAATTCGTTTTTGGAGAAAGAGCAAGTTTCAAGACAAATTGTGAATTTTGAAAGCTTCCTTGAAGGATTTTGAACGATTCTGGACCATTAGGTGCAAGCTCAAACAAGTATTAAAGGCTCAGTGGAAGCTCTCCACTAGGTAACTTTATTTCAACCATACACTCTCAATATGCCATGTTTCTTTGCCATTTTCGTTGCATTGTAACCTTTGAAGCATGTAGATCATTTATATGTCCATTTGGTTGTTGTTTATGATGATGTTTGGTTGGTGCTCAAAACTTTTTGAAGTTGGTATGAACTTATTTTGCATGATTTTACTTGTTTCTTGCTTGATCTATGATGTACATAAGCTTTAGATGTTAATGGAACAATTTATTTTGAGTTTTAATGAACTTGAGTTTTTGGTTTCAAACTTTGTTTGCTTCGTTTTTCTTTTATGGTGCATTATTATTGATTTTTGAGGTTGGATTTGGAATCTACGCGACGAGTAGATGAATTTTGACGTAAAATTTGTTAAAAACGGAGCAAAATTGCATTTTATGTGTTGTTGTTCATGAACATGGTGGTTGGAGCCAAGAAAGAAGATGACCGGAACTGTTCCGGTGGTGGTTTCCGGTTGGGGGAGAGGGAGGCCGCGTGGCCGTTAGATGGAGAGGGAAAAGGAGACCGAGTCTCCCAATCCAAGGGCGTAAGACGCGCCACATGGCCACACGCCTAAACGGCGTCGTTTTGTCTAGGAA